GACAATATTCCAGGCCTGTGTTTGCCTTTATCCTATGGCACAATGAGGATTCTCCAAGGCACAGTAAACAAATGAAATCAAAATCACTGGCACCAGTTTAAGAGGAGATGGAGCAGTGGTTTAAAGTACAAGCTTCACTATCAGATATTTGTATCATGGCTTCGTTGCTTACCAGCTGTGTGGTCCTGGGCAAGGACCTATAGTATTCCTGTGAGCAATTAATACACAAAGCACTTTGCCAGTCCCTGGCAACTGAGATCTAAAATACCATTGATAAAATTGAAACCTTCAGGGTATGAGAACAATCTTACAAGTGTTCTTTGAGTACAATGCGACTGATGAAATTATATTTGAAGGCTACCCAAAAGTATGATTTGAAAGCCTGAATGACATGGGTATTTGTACTAAATCAGGAATTATGAAGAATTTATAATATTTAAAATGGATTAGTTGACTTAACATTAACATTTAATGTGACTGAAGTAGGAAAATGTTTAGGTAACTTGAAGAGTATTAAAAATAGCATTTAAGTCAACAGAAACAATGGACAAATGATGTGTCCCATCTTAATCAGGACGATGTTTATACTTTGCTAAGTCCGTGTTTTGCATGAGCCTGAGGCTCCATGGTAAATGTATTTCTCAGGCAGAAAAAATAAGCTTAGCCCTAAGAACACAATCCCTGACAGAATTTACATTATTAAGCAAGGTAATACACACTTTTCCTCTCAAAAGCTTATTATGTTGTTTAAAATGCAAAACATATGAATATTAACTCACAAGAATTATACTAAATAATACCACCAAATTGTCATGTAGATTTTCTTCCCAAGGAACAGAGCTAAAAATATACACAAATATACTCAACTACCAGGCTACATTGGGTTCTTTTGGAATTTTTAAAAAACTTCTTTTATATTTAACCCATATGCTTCTCATGTGATTTTCCTTTTTATGGAAATGTAAGCTCTGTTTTAGGCATTTGGAAGAAACTGGGTCTATGATGATAAAGGAAGGAAACGAAGATGGGGGGGTTTGGGGGGGGTCGGGCAAGTGTCTTCATCCTCCAGGACTCTGGGCTCTTAGGTATCCATCTTGGAGTGTCTGTGCCACCTGGATGAACCACTCACCTTTGTTTTGTCATTTCTCTCTCCTCGGCCCAGGACAGCTAGATGTGCCTGGGACAGCTAGTGCCAGTCCTTATATCTCCTGTTTCTCCCCTAGCTTCCTAGAGCAGACCGAAGAAGTGGGAGGCTGAGAGAAAGCTGGGGAATGGACAGGGAGCGATGGTCTCTTGTTCATCTCTTTATTCCTGACTAAATGGATGAATGAGCTCATTAACGTTTATCCACTTACCATACTGCAACTAAGCCACCTTTGCAGATACTAGAAAGATTAGGTTATGAAAATCCCTACTGATTGGTTGCAGCTGCCTAGAGCTGGATTGTTGATAAAGGGCATGAGAGTGTCTAGGCTCAGGGAGAAAAACCCCAAGATTCATCATGAACAACGGGCCGCAGGTTAGAGAGGGGCAGGCTCTCCCGAATGGAAGTCCTTTATTTCTCAAATTACTGATTCTTTTTGTGTTGTCCATTCCTTGAAATTAATCCCTACTTGCTTTGCCAGGCTTTTCCAAGTCTCTGTGGCTCAGTGGACCTTCAATAAAAGTTTGATGGAAAAAAAACAAATCCTGGTGAAGAGGCAGAGAAAAAGGAACCCTCCTGCATTGTTGGTAGGAGTGTAAATTGGTACAGCCACTGTGGAAATGAGTGTGGAGGTTCCTCAGAGGACTAAAAATAGATCTACCCTATGACAGCTATCCCACTACTGTGTGTATACCCAAAATAAATGAAAACAATATATCAAAAAGATACCTGCACTCCCATGTTCATCACAACACTATTCACAATAGCTGAGAGATGGAATCAGTCTAAATGTCCTTCAACAGATGAATGGATTAATAAAAACTATGGTCTATATACACAATGGAATACTACTCAGCTATAAAAAAGAAATCCTATCATTTGCAGCAACATGGATGGAACTGGAAACCATCATGTTAAGTGAAGTAAGTCAGGCACAAAAAAGACAAATATTGCATGATATCACTAATATGTGGAATATATAAAAAAAAAGTGGTTCTCACAGAAGTAGAGAGTAGAATAATGGTTCCCAGCAGGTGAGGGGGTGCAGGGGGAGGAGGAAAAGTAGTGGACTGATAGGTACCAAACTACACTACTGATCCTAAGTGAATCACTGTGCAGTAAATGCATATATTAAAACAACATACAGTACCCACAAATATGTATAAATAAATGTTAAAATATTTTGAATAAAAATAAAAGGAAAGAAAAACAAATATATAGCTGGTCTTCATCAAGAATTGTGGGACCTGCAAATAAACAACTCTCTCCAGGTCAGTGGCTGAACCAAATGAGTAACTTCAGGAGCCATAAACAAGTCACTTGCCAATGGTAGACACATTAATTATGTCATTTTTTTCATATGAAATAACCATTCTCTGGTGGTACCAAGAGAATTCTCCAAACTCCAGGTGAGAGAGCTTATAGTCAGGGTAACCAACATGTCAGGATTAGGCATAAATTAAGGCATGGTTATTTAAGACATAACCAAAAGTATGTCCCTCCCCAACTTTGTTGGTCTTTGCTAATAATTTTCAATGTTCTTTAAGAGTTATTAACATTGCTAAAATAGCCTCAACAATATTGTATATTAAGTTTTTAATTGTCTACATTTGGGGAGCTGTTTTGAAGAACCATCATTCTCTTCAAAAAGATGCTGGGACAAAGGAGATACTCTTCCCTACTGCAGAAGTCCTTGGTCATTTTCATGTCTTCAGAACTCATTTGACTTGGTTGTAAATTAAAACAAAGAAAAGAAATCCTCACCTATAAAATCCAAAAAGCAATAGAAAAGGCCACTTCCCACAAGTCCTTTTAGGAGACCAAATGGGATCAGCCCCCTCTCTTCTTACCCAAGCTCCATCCTCTCCCACATATTTTACAGAACATAAATTATGACAATTAAAAAAAAAGCGAGAATGAGAAAGTGCTATTTCAACCAGAAACCATAAGGCCTGTTCATGTAGAAGTAATTGTAGAGAGAATAGCGCAGCCTCAAAAATCAATCTGGCTGCTTCTCCTCAGGCGAAAATTAATTTGGCCTGCTTGCTGGCAAGCGTCTGGATGGATGTTTTGCATGGCTAAGCAGCAGATGAAGACAGAAAAAGCAGTGTAAACTTTTTGCAAATTAACACCACTTAGTTGACGACACACTTTTTATTTCTTCCCTCTATGCCTAGATGTTTAGTGCTAGAGAAATAAAAGATAATGAAAAACAGACTAGGCCACTGTTTTAACTCTTTTACAGGAGAGCAAAGGTTTGGCTTTTGATTCCATGACACTAAAAATACATATCTATTTAAATCTGGCAAACACTGTCCTTCCAAGAACTGCTGATGATTTTCACAAAGTGGCCAACATCATCTTCCTGGGGTCACCAAATAAAAAACAATGCTGCCAAGAGCTGGCTGCTGCCACAGACAGAGCTTCAGCCTTCTCCACCCACAGCCCCTGACACTAGTGTTGTGTGTTGCCATAACCCAGGGGAAGAAAATAAAGTGCTAGAAAAGAAACAGAACAATGCAAACAAACAACAGAGCCCAATTTTTAGTTGCAGGAATTCCTTAAAAAAAAAAAAGAATTCTGAGGTCTTCTAAAGGAAAAACATACCAATTCTTTGAAAAATATCCCAAAACGTATCTCCTCCATTCAGTTTGACAGGGAATTGATTTATGGAATTTAGGTATGTGTGAATTTGTGTAGTTGAAGCAAAACCACAAAGCTTGGAACGCAGATTAAAGTACGTATCATTGTTCTACCAAATAAGCCTTATAACTACGAGACAACACAGTCTGTGCATGAGACCAGATCTAGCTACCTCAGGGTGACAAAGTAATTCAAAGACACCCACTTGTAGTCTAAATAAAGAGGCAGGAAAGAAAAAGCATCTCTGGAGAGGGTGGCCTATGAATGGGCTTTTTTTTTTTCCCCTTTCTTTTTTTTAGAATTGGAAGATTCTGCAAAGCCCTTTAAATAGTGTATATCCATATATTCATTTTTCTGGAGAGTGTGTCTATAGCTTTCAGAAGATTTTCAAAAAGATCTCTGACCCCTTCTCTGGCAAATAATTCCCAGATCTAAAGGAATCCCTCACTATCAGCCCCAAAGTCCTCTGTAACCATACAATAAAACAGATGGTATATAACCCTCATGAAAAAAATTTATAATATTATAATTGGTGGGTTGTTCACGCTCAAGCAGTCTTGCAGTGATGAATCTCTATAATAATGTTAAATTGTAAAATTATCCTCCTGGTTCCATAAATATATTATATGCAGTGGTTATAAAAGGGGCTTCTCATCTAAAGCATTAAATGACAGTTTTACTGCATCATTAATTTGGTATAGAACCAACATGCTACTCACAATAAATATTAATTAATTAAAGATTAACTAAACAATTTTGTTTGTCCTCCTGAAGTTTATAAGAGCTTTCCTGGGGGAGATTTAAGGAGGCTTAAAACAAAAAAACAAAAACAAATCTGAAGGAACTCCTTGGTTCAGCCAATGCTGAGGTCAATGTTGACTTTGTCTACTGGGGGCCCATGCTGGGGTTTGGGGTCTAATGCTGTCATTAGAAGAAAGCCTAAAGCAGAAAGGTGTGAGACATGCATAAATGCAGAAACAGCCCCAGTGGGAGAGGAAGAAGTCACACGGCAGAGGGCACAATCCACAACCCAACACACAGATAGAACCCAAACTCATTGTGTAAAGCTGTTCATTAACAGAAAATGCTCAAGTTGAGTTTTTCCCATGTTAGTTTCCTCTTCCCTAAATGGCTTGTGATACCTAGCCCCAAACACTACCAAGAGCAAGCAAGCCTTTCTTCTCAGAAGTGAGAGACCAGGAAAGTCACTTACCAGATGCAGGTGGCTGGTCACCAGGGGAGCTTCCAGACCCAGCCCCTCCTCTAGTCGAGCCTGGCAGCCTCCCATCAGCCCCGCCGTTGTCGTCGTGGGGCTGGTCTCCCCCATCTGCCCTGCCGGCTGCTTCCTCTGGGGGAAGGCCCATGCCATAGGCACACTGGGGCAAGGGTCCATGTTTCAGGGAACCGAGGATGGGTTCACAGTCCTCCCCAGGAGGGTTCCCACAGCCTGTGCAGCCATCCGCCGAGTTGGAGCTGGCTGCCCAGTGGGGGCAATTGCCAGCCTCCACCTCTTTTTGCAAGTACTTTTCGTAGGACACGGGGATCCAATCAGTCCTGCAGAGGGGCTCGGCCAAGTCGCAGCTTTCTGAATCCACCATGCTCTCTGTCCCCGTGAAGCACTGGCTTAAACTGTCATTCTCCCCCACCTCCAGGGGCTCAGAGAAAGAGGGCATGGATTTGCTTCCAGGCTGAGTCAGGAGCAGTAAACAGTCAGGGCCCTGCGAGGGCCTGTCCACGTACTCGTCTTCCATGGGAATCTGCCTGAAAGGGTCCCCCTCGGCCTCGGTCTCGCTGACCAAGGACAGCATGGTGACATCTCTGCCTGATGAGTAGGGACCAGCTCCCACACATGGGCCCGCACAGACTCTGCAGCCATCTGGACAGCACATATCTTCTGGAAGTGTCTTCTCCAGAGTCAGCAGCAAGACACCTTCACAGACTTGGCGCTGACCAGAGGCTGTCACGTGAGTGCTGCTGCAGGTGTCACCTGAGGACTCCTGTGATTTAAATTAAGAAGGCAGAGGCATTCATACCCAATTATTAGAACGTGTTCGGCTAGACACTCCTGGAAATGGTTTTTATGCTAATTATTTCCACCATCAAAAGTACAGATGGATCATTTGCCATGACACTTTATTTGTGTTATTTAAACTTAAGGAGCACAGGAGAACCCTAAAAGGAAACACAACCAGAAACAAATGAAGCTAACTGCATTTTAAATTAACAGCATATTCACACCGGAGCAAGGGGGAGCTAACCCGAATAACTTTCAAACACAGTATTTTGACTATATACTCTGACTCTAAATACAAAAAAACAACTATAAACAAATACTGAACACTTTCGTAGCTCTGTGCTTTGCTGCGGTATGGTTTAATAATTCTGAAACTACTTTCTATGTATTCTAGAATTTAGCAAGTGAGTAAATATATTGATAATAATAGGAGCCAAGGGAAAGACCAGAATGAATCCTGTGGTACTGGGACTAGAACGAGAGACATCAGTATGAGCTCATGGTTAAAATTCGGTATAAATATTTTTATGCCAAAGGAAGTTGATCTAAAGGACATAATGGGATAACTAATGAATTTTAATATCAAATATGGATTGGAAAATAATATTGTACCACTGTTAAATTTGTTAATTTTGATAAATATGCTATGGTTATATATAAGAATGTCCTTGTTCTTAAGAAATACACATTGAAGTACTATCTGTATTTAAGGATATAGGAATACAATGCCATTCACTCTAAAATAGCTCAGGAAAAAAAATGCACGTTCATATATACACATACAGAAAGAAAGAAAATAATAAAGCGGTATGATAAAATGTAAATAACTGGTAGGTCTAAGTGTAGGGTATATGGGAGTCCTTTGTACTATTCTTATTAATTTTCTTTCTTTCTTTTTTTTTTTTTCTGTCTTTTTGTCTTTTTTTCGTGACCAGCATCGGATCGCAACCCTCAGTGTCGCGCCTGTACCGGACCGGGACCAGCAACGGGATCGCAACCCTCGGCGTTGCCCCCGCTCCTAGCTCAGCCAGTGAGCGGCCGGTCTGCATGTGGGATCCGAACCCTCGGCGGGAGCGCCGCCGCGCTTCCCAAGCGGGCCGGCCCCTATTCTTATTAATTTTCTATAATTTTGAAATTATGTCAAAATAAAGTTATCAAAATAACTACAGAGTCAAGGAAAGTTGCAGCTTGTTCCTCCTGGGAATCTGTACTAGACAATCAAGGCTGGTACTAAAAAATAACATGAACGCAGAGACGACAGAAGGGGAATGGAATACAAAGAAAACAGGCGTTTAGAATGAGCATTAACTCAGGCTTTGGATTAGTCCATAGGGATTGGTCCTGGGATTTGAGGTTTGGTCACTGCACTTAGAAGTGCCCCTTAAGCAATGGGGCTCAGTATTTGACTAATTATAGCTGTATCAGCCTAATTATCGAAAGTACTTAGAGAAGGCACTAAAGACTTTTAATGTTACCTTATTTCCACTTAGGCGGCCGCAAGCGTCATTGACCCAGTGCCACAAATTAGCTAGAAAAACAAAGCAAGGATAAGGGCTTCATGTTATTATGACCTATTTCTTTTCTTAAAAATAAATTTTATTGTGTATATGAGAGTACTTCAAAAAGTTTGTGGAAGGGAACATGACTCTTCTGTGATGCCCCCGTGCTCTGCCTTCTCCTGGCACGTTAAATAATAAAACTTGTTATGCCTTTCAAAAAAAAAAAAGCTTGTGGAAAAATGGAATTAAAAGGCAATGCAAACCTTTCCATAAGCTTTTTGAAGACCTCTCGTATTTAAGGTACACAACATGATGTTATGAGATAAATATACATAATGACATGGTTACTAGAGTGAAGCAAATTAGCGTTATCATCTTGGTTTTTTTTGTGGCAAGAGCAGCTAAAGTCTGCTCATTTAGTAAAAATCCTGAATATAATACAATATTATTACCTTCTGAACAGTCCTCACTCTGTGCATCAGTCCTAGACTTCTTTTATCCTACATATTTGCTACTTTGTATCCTCTGAACTACATCTCTCTATTTCCTTCTCCTCTGCCCCTGGTAACCACTGTTCTATTCTCTATCTCTGTATAGTTGACTTTTTTTTTTCTAAGATTCCACATATAAGTGAGATCATGCACTAGTTTTCTGTCTGCGTCAGGCTGGGTATTATTGACCACAATGTCGGTTCAATATTTTCTTTCAACATTGTCCACTGTGTTTTAGTGAGTGTTCCTGGGAGTGAAAGCATTTAAAAATAAATCAACTGATTTAAGTACTGTGAAGGCATCTTATTCCTATCAAAAACAGAACTTCCTGTTCTATGTAAAGCAAATCATGATCCACTAATATTCCACCAAATACCTCTGGGCACACCTGGGGGCTGTCAGAGCTGCTGTAATGACTACATTCTCACTCCCTCAGCAATCTTTCTTTGACTATGAGGGACTAGGCTAGGCATCGTAGGGGGACAAATAAAATGTGTCTAAGAGACTGATTTTCCAGTAAAGTAGCTCAAATGTATGTACAATAAAAGTGAACTGCACACTGGGGCTGGGGGGCTGCCAGACCTCGTGGAAAAACTTTTTCCATTATACCTTGTTGCTTCTCAGGAGAAAGAAGATTATATTCTGTGGCATACACAAAGTACAACTCCACTAACTTGTATAAAATAGAAGTAATAAAATCTAAAAAGTCGAATCTATGAATTAAAAAAAATCTGATTTTATATTATGCAAAGATAAAATTTTATCCTGCCTCTAATGAATATTTAACGTTGTGTTCACTATGGAGACTAAAGTTAGGAGTCAGCAATTCTCCACTGGAGGATAATCACAGTTTGTGATAATAGCTAATGATCCCTAACATCCACTGAGCACTTAAATGTGCCCAGCACTGTGCTAAGCAGTCTATACCCATAATCTCATCTATGCTCTAGACTCTATTATGTGACCTGGCACAGGTTATTTAACCTCTCTGAGCCTGTTTGCTCATCATAAAATGGGGTAAATAATAGTGCCTGCCTCATAGTGCTGCTGTGAAGATTTACTTAGGACAAGTAAAATGCATATAGCTAGGCTGGCATGTAATACATATTCAATACATGCCAGTTTTTGCTGTCATCATCATTATTCGTGCTTCTTTTCTATAATTCTGAAGGTATATGAAAATAAAATTACCCCCACTAAAAAGGACAGTTCCCTGTAGGAATTAGTACTAGACAATCACAAATGGTACTAAAAAATAGTACTCATGCACAGAGGTGATAACCATTCATAACTATCATGATCATCTCTCCCCTGGACAATCACAAATGCCTTCCTAATTGGTATACCTGCACCCACTCTTACTACATCCCCAAATGTTATGCTAAACCCAGAGAGCTGTCCTTGCTTCCCTTTGCTAAGGATGGGGAGCAAACTCCTTAGGGAGACCTGCAGGGCTGCACCACCTAGCCGTGCCTGCCTCTCCAGTTTCATCTCACATGGTTTCCCGACTTTCTGCTCCAGTCCCCCAATGCGCTACGACACCTCCATTGTGTGGTTCTCTCCATGAGGAATGCTTGCTACGCTGCTTGATTTTCCTTGGGCTACTAAATTCCAACTTGTCTTTCAGATCTCAGCTCACTGTTTCCTCCTCTGGGTCCCTGGCAGACCCCTAAGGCCAGGCAGACCCTCTGCCATCTGCTACCTGGCGCTTGACACCTTAGCTCTCAGTACTCAGTGGGCCTAATGCCTTCCTTGACCACTTCCTCCAGAAGGGCCCTGGCTGTGTTTGTGCTGCTCGACATCGAGACATAGTGCCAGTCCAGTCCCTGGTGGCCAATAAACGTGCAGAACGCATGGATGAAAAGAAAGCTAACAGCCATAATTCCCAGTTCAGTAATTGGTATGTCCATTGTTTTTCTCAATAAGATATGGCCGTAAAAGAATATTAAAGAGAAAAAACTAAAGAACAAAACATTGGGAAGTCTGTTTGTCTCACATAAACATAACTGTCAGAGTGATCCTCATCATCTGAACATGCATTATCCAAACCTCCACTTATGACACTGTTAGGGAAGTGAAGTTGCATTAAATAAAAATATTCAATAATGAGGGCCGAGCCCAGGGCGCACTCGGGAGAGTGCGGCACTGGGAGTGCAGCAGCGCTCCCGCTGCGGGTTCAGATCCTATATAGGGATGGCCGGTGAGCTCACTGGCTGAGCGCTGTGCGGCCGATCTCAAAAAAAAAAAAATCCAAGAATGAATACACTCTTTGAAATTAAAAAAAGTGGTCCCTACTCTAACATTGCTCGCAGATGGACACAGGCATCTTAAATCACCATCTTTCCTCTTTAATTAATCTTTTGATTGTCTAGTGTTACCTTAGGCAATGTAATGTTCATAGAAATAGCAAGACATGCAGGGCCTCATGAAGTCCAGGGATGGGATATGGCAGAACCGACCACATCACAGCAAGGCAGAGGCAGACAATAAGAACGAGTAAGCAACAGAAATGGAAAAGGATGGTACACCGAGGGGTACTTCAAAAGAGAATGATTTGAATACTACAGGATTAAGAAACATCTTTAGGAAGGAAACCCTGTAAATCACACCCCAGAATTCAATGAAGCCTTGAATCCTTTTGTAAAAATTACACTTTTTAAGCTTTGTAGTATAAAAGTCAAAACGTGATATGATGTTTAAAGACACCATCAAACCATTTTTTTGTGAAAAAATTATTACCAGAAACAAGATAACAGTTGATTGTCCATTCTAAGTACCTAAATTTTACTGAATCTAACATAACTTATTTTCATAATTTTAGATTCACATTTTAAGGTAACATCCCAATCAAAATATCCCCCTGGCCATTTATCTGAACATTTTGTCTATTTTAAATGAGTACATTCAAAATGGATGTATTCTAGGATAATGCAACCCCCTGTATATCTGATGCTGTATAATCTATACAACTTAAACACAGAATTTACAAGTCATCAGTCTCCTGAATGCTAAAATATTCTTGCTTGCTTATACATAAACAGGCACGGTGTTGGGGTTTTTTTGTGTTTTGTTTTTTCTTTTTGCTAGGGAACAATGAATCAGATATAAACAATGTTTCACCTTAGTTCAAGTGCAACCCCCATAAGGCACTTATTTAATCAGATCACCACAAGCAGCCAGTGAACAACCTACTCATCTACCAAAACATTTACCTAGAAACATATCTATTTTCTTTAAGATTAATTTTCAAAAACCACTGTAGACACAATACCTGTTAGTGCTTTCCCTTTTTTCCTATAGTAAACACCAAAGATGACGGCAGCAAATAATGCCATGGATATGAAGAGAAGCAGAATAATTAAACTGGGCAAGTAAATCTGGGGTTCTGTGTTGGAAGAAAATGAGAAATATTGTATTAAAGATTAATTTACTAAGTTTAATAACAAAACCCTGTACATCAAACCCCAGAATCAAGGTTGTTGGTCTGGAATAACAGAGGTAGGACGCTCCCCACCCCCTACTGTTCATTTGTCAGTGCTCACATTCTGAAGGGCGGAATGCACATCTAGCCCAGCCTGCACAGCCTGGCTTCACTCAGAGGGACCATTACAATGTTTCTACGTTAGAACAGCTCTAATCATGGTCACCATCAGGTCTCACCCTTGCTTACCTCCAGACCCCCTCAACAACTCTGGATGGATGGGCTCTGCAGGTAAATGGAAGCCCCTAGCAAATCTTTCCAAACAAGATGGCACCAGGGTTTTGCTGCTCATGAGAACAGAACCACAGTCATCCTGAGAAGTATCATCCCATGAAGTGTTTCCACTGTCTCATCTACAATACAATGTGGACTCAACCATTTCATCATCCCTCCATGATCACTTCATTGCTAGAATTTTTATATTATAAATGCTTGGTTTACTTGACCTGGTTTCCTGGACTCTGACCTTCCCTCTCCTTCTCCCTTTTTAAAAATAAATTTTTATTCCCTCAGTTATTTTTAACGTTATATTTAAAGTGGTCTTTTAAAAACTCTGCTCTGATTGTGAAATTCCATAGCTAGAATGACTTAAAATCCTCCTGTTTCCTACAGTGTCAAATCTAAACCTCTGATTTTCTTTTTCTTTTTTTTTTGTTGGCTGGCTGGTAAGGGGATCTGAACCCTTCACCTTAGTGTTATAACAAGGGGATGTGAACCCTTCTTCACCTTGGTTTTGTAACCACTGCACTTTAACCGACTGAGCTAACTGGCCAGCAGTCTCTGATTTTCTTGGTCAAAGCCTGATAACCCTGTGATTCTGTGGCCTGTGTTCGCTGGGCTCAGTAGAAAGGTCTTCTTGCCACTTATGCCATCTCCTCTGGCATCTGGATCCACCTCCACAATAACCCACTCACCTGGAGAAACCAGCCTCCACCACTAACCATCAACTTTCTGTCAACCTCTTGAACTGTACTTAAGATTAATTTAATCTACAAATTATTCCATCAACAATGATAACTATATTCTAACAAGTTGCTAACTCTGGTTGATGACCAAAATCTCCCCATAGATACTCTCATTGTGATTACCACCATCCTATCATATCATGGAATTTTAATTTATATTTGCAGCTCTATTTTCTTTTTTGGTATATGAATATATTATTAGTTATCCCCAATCCAGTGTAGGAGATTACCAAGGAAACAACATATCTGGAATTAAAATACTGATAAAAATGAAATACTGAGCTGACCATGGATAGGGTGAAACGAGAAGAGAAAGATAAACCCCTCCGGATATAGCACGTGATTTGGGAGAGCTCTAGATGCCCTGACTACACTGGGCATATCTACCAAAAAACAGGCTCTTTTTTTTTTTTTTTTAACAGGCTCTTTCTAAACATACCATTTGGTGGTTTTCTAGACAGCAGAGAAGAACTGCAAACCACGTCTGATTTCTCTGTCCCGTGACGTTCCACTGTCTTTCCAAGGATGGTACAGCTGTGTGTGGGGGAAGGAGGGAAGCAGTTAAGTGCTTTGGTTTTATAATCTTGTTTAAAAACAAACAAACAAAAGAAAGGCTCTACTTTACAGGTTGGACATCCTTAGTCCGAAAATCCAAAATCCAAAATACTCCCAAATCTGAAACGTTTTGAGTTCTGACGTGATCACGCCACAGTGGAAAATTCCACAGCTGACCTGATGTGACGAAGAAAGGCTCTACTTTACAGGTTGGACATCCTTAGTCCGAAAATCCAAAATCCAAAATACTCCCAAATCTGAAATGTTTTGAGTTCTGACGTGATCACGCCACAGTGGAAAATTCCACAGCTGACCTGATGTGACGAGTCACAGTCCAAACTCAGCCAGAACTTTGTTCCATGCACAAAATTACTTAAAAGATTGTATAAATTACCTTCAAGCTACATGTACAAGGTGAATATGGAACACAAATGAATTTTGTATTTAGACTTGGGTCCCATTCCCGAAATATCTCATTATGTATATGCAAATATTCCAAAATCCAAAACATCAAAAATCTGAAACACTTCTGATCCTGAGCATTCTGGATAAGGGATACTCAACCTGTACTAGATTGCCAGCTCCTTCAGGAGAGAAACACATGTCTTTGCAGACTTTTGAATCCCCAGGGCCTTCCATGGGGGAGCGGAACATCACAAAGGCAGACAAATGAATAAAGAAAAGGAACCACCACTCGTGTTCTTTAAGAACTACTCTGAGAGTGTGGTCAGCAAGAGAGTAGATCAGGGTCTTCAGTAAAGAGGATTCCAAATGCTTCGATCACCATGGCTAAGTAATAAACCTTTGATGACTGTTCTTCTGAAGTTGAAAGATACAGAGAATCTTTTCAATATAAAACTTGGATAAGTAGATCAGAAAATAACCATTTAATAAGAATCTATTGGGAACTGAAAGAATCATTACATTGATTATTAGTATTCAGCAACAAACATGCAATGAAAGGACCCAGGAATTCCACTATATTCACTGATAGACTCACATAAGGGTACAGTATTTATATGAGATCATTCATTACAAAATTGTTTCTTACTGCAAAAGACTGGAAACAACCTAAATGACTCTCAATAGGGAACTTATTAGGTCTACTATGGTACATCTCTATGATGAAATACTATGTAGCTGTTAAAAAGCCATGAAGATATAAGTGGACTAATATGGAAAGATCTTCAAGATATATTGTGTGAAAAAGCCCCAAGGTGTGGCAAGCATTTATATAAACAGGAGGCTTCTATGTGCACACACACAAATCTCTGAATGAATAAACCACTGATGATGGGAAGCTGGGAAAAGTAGGAGTGGTAACTGAATGATAATAAACATCATAAATCATTTTCAACTAAATAAGGTTAGAGAAAGAAAAAATGCAGCTCCAACTGTAAGTCAAAGGTCTTAGGCTACTGAATCTAAAAAGTACAAAGTCCCTGAAGAATTGTACTTTAATTCTTGAAGTAGCTTGAAGAATTGGTTTGACTGGTCTATTTTCCCCAAGGTGGATTGACAGGCTTTTTCCATTTTGAATGTGGCTTCAAGAGGAAGCCTAACCAAATGGGATCATTCTGTTTTCAACCCAGATGATACAGTGGAGGTTGAGTTGTTTAAAAGCAACAAACTTTCTTGGCTCCTTTGTTGTCACTTACTTGGTCCAGGGTTTGCATTTGTCTGTGGAAGAGAAGGCATCTGAGAAGTAGCCTACAAGGCAGGGCTTGCACACCGTGTCCTTGTTGAGCTGCACTGTCAAAAAAAACAGACAAAAAACAGACAAGGACACTTAGAGATCGGCCAGGATGATGCTCGAGAGGACCTAAGAGGAGGAGCTGCCCCTCTCTTCTTCTCTTCTCCCCTGTTCCTGCTCTAGCCACCTGCCTCTAATTGCTCCCGCTCCTACAGGTTTGGGCCCACAAGTCAGTTCTAATGGAATTGCATTCAGAAAGGTAACTAGCTCAATGTTGGCCACTAACACAGGTATCTGAGGTCCAGGTCCAGGCTAGCTCTGATCTTGACCCTTTGCTCTTCGGAGCCACTGTCCTGATCACCGATATTTTGCTTCCTCGTCTGGGAGCCTGTGTTGCAGGTCCCCACTGTGTCCTCACTGCCTGACTCTTGTTTGTACCAGGCACCTGTCTGCTATCCCCTTTCTGCCTTTATGGCTTGCATTAGCCTTCGTCTGCGGATAGTGGCAGCCCTGTTACCCCAGGTCAGCTTAATCTCACCAGTCCAAGTACTGGAGTGTCACAAAGTTTTCTCAATTAAAAAAAAAAAGAAAAAATCCTACACGTCTCTTTCTCTTAAACCAAGGGTTGGTGTCAAACTTTTTCTGTAAAGGGTCAGACAGTAAATATCTTAGGCTTTACAGCCTTTACAGTCTCTGCTGCAACTACTTTTAGCATGAAAGTAGTCAAACACAACATGTTAAAAAAAACAGATGTGGCTGTGTTCCAACTTTACTTATAAACACAAGTGGCAGGATGGATTTTGGATCCCTGCCTTAATGCACATCACTGAAATCAGGAGTTGATCCTGGTTAGTGAGCTTGACTCAGCCCTCTCATATTCCTCATAAACTGTGTTTCCTACGTCTACTAACTTCACTGCAATTGGTACGTGATTACTCTTTAAGTGCAATGAGGAACACTGACTACTGTGTGATATCATAATCAGGCAATTGGCTGGTGCCAAAACCACAAATTACTCTTGAAATCAGTAGGACTTCTGTGATTTATCTTCATGAATAAAACACTAAAATAAGGAATTAAATTTTCTTTGTCAGGTAGAAGGTACCTTCCTGATTCCTGATTTCTGCAATTTGGCCCAATAAATACAGTACCCATCCCTTGATCTAGCAATTTGATTTGCCTTGAAACTATATTAACAAAAGCCCAGCTTAACATCTAATAATTCTTATACTACTCACATTAATTCAAGTAACTTTTAAGAAGATAAACACAATCTAGAAGAATAACTTTCAAAAATGAGACTTCTCAAGGGACTACCAGGCATACAGAGGTTTACAGACATTAACTTTCATACACTTGACTTCCACAGGACTCTTTAATGACCTGCCAGAATATGCTGCAGGCTCTCCTTTGCCTTCTCCCTTTCACAGTCATGCTTCTCCCACTTTACAAAAGAAGGCACACTTCTTACCCACCCCAAATCCCTGCTATAGTGCTAAATTTCTGACAGACCAAACAAAGCAACAAGTTGAAATATTGGTGATGGCAAAGCTACTGCATTCAGAGCACTTGATCCAGCCTCTGTCTTTCCCTATCTTTTGAGGGCTAAAGTGTGGCAAAATAAATGGGATATTTGAGACCAGGTTGAGTTGTTCTGAATTCAAATATACAACAAGGTGGGGCAGGAGTAAAATTTTCATTCTTCCATCTTGTCCCCCCATCCTCTACCTATTGTCAAAAAATGCATCATTCCCAAATGTGCAAGGCAGAGAGAAATCTATCAGAAACCCTGAAGGCAGCAGCACTTTATTTTATGTAGGTGACAAACTTGCAGAAAGGCTCTGGGCCTTGCTATCTTAGAATCAGAATTTAGAGGGAGTAGGCTGTGATAGGGAGTTTTATTTTAATAATTAAAAAATCAAGTCAGACTTTTTCCAAGAGAGATCATGTCTGGTTTAATCAACGTGTTTGATAATAAGGACTAATTGTGCCAATCAGACTCTGTGATAGACATTTTCCTTGATGTCAACGCTGTCCATTGGGGTAAAACCAGGTGCCTCTAAGTGACACAGACATAAATAATTATTTGGGGTTTTTTTTGTTTGTTTTGTTTGTTTTTTTATGACCGGTAAGGTGATCTTAACCCTTGACCTGGTGTTGTCAGCACCACGTTCTCTCCCAAGTGAGCTAACCGGCCATTCCTACACACGGATCTGAACCCATGGCCTTGGTGTTATCAGTACTACACTCTCCCAAGTGAGCCACGGGCAGGCCCTATAAATAATTATTTGTTATGTCTTGAAGAAAACTTTTTAAAGAAAACTTCCTAGAAGTTGGGAAAGCAAGCAACGCTAAGAAACACTTTTGGAAGCCAAAAGATTTCTATCTCTTTTACTTTCAACAAAACTGAAGGATGCAATTGAGTTCTCAACTGACAGATCATTAAAAATAACTTCTGATGGTATTATCACTTTGTGATCTTGGACATATGACTCAGAAGGTACTGAAAGAATCGAGGGACACTCCCACCATAGAAGTCTTTCCATAGCCATTTAGCTATTTGTGTGAACAAGTTTCTCAGAACTTACATATACAACAACAAAAAGTGGAAATAGAATTGATGTTAAATCCTGTTTCATTTTAGCAATAAGTAATATTCAATCATGAATATATGAATTGGAAAAAAAATCCTGCTTATAATGAAGTACAAAAACTATTTATGATTATAATAGAGCATAATATATTCATTTTTTGACCAACTGTGTAATAATAAGTGCAGTGACAACTCAGTCCAGAAGAAATGCTTTTAACCTGAGAACCTTGAGTCACAGTAAATTTTTAAAAATTGAGATTTCAAATAGATGCATATTTTTGGTGTAAACGGGTGTAAAAAGGTGCTTAGTAAAAGCCTTCCAAGCATAAAAATATATTGAGATAAAATTCTGTGGGGAGAGTAGAATGAATATGAATCAAAGAAAAGGGACTATGTGAAGTTTCCAACAGTTAATATGATTAGTGTATTTTTAAATGGATAATAGTAGGTATCAAACTGCTATGGCGTTTAGATTCCACTATTTTTTTTTAAACGTGTTCCTACAGTTATAATTCCCTGGTAACTAAGTGCTTAGCAGTGCTTTGAATTTTTAATAAAAAAATTTTAGATGTCAACTTGAGGAATGTACCAGGGGATGCATGGTTTTTTAAAAATTCTAAGGGGGTGCACAATTTAAAAAGCAAAAAAAGAGTTTGAGGATCCCTGTGCTACCCCGTTGGCTCCTAAGTGGGGATCCTGGGTTTCACAGATGGAGGTGCCGAACGTCACAGTGGCCGTGACAAGAGCCCCTTCTCTTTGAAAAGCCTAAGCTGAGGTTCATTCGCAGGTCTCGTGGAAGATCGAGGGCCCCCTCATTTTCCTCCAGCGCCTGATATAATAATGATGCCTCACTGAAACTGTCCCTAAGATGGCTCTGGCCTGGGCTGAACTGCATGGCTCGGGAAGCGGGGACCGACGCCTGGATCCAGCCCGTACGTACAGGGGTGCTGGGCGCCCAAGCCCGGCGCGCACTCGGCGTTGCGGCGGCAGCACTCGCAGTCCTGGCTCCAGTGGTACCCGGCCGTGCAGGCGCAGCGCCGCGGGGCCGTGCGGTTGCCGGGGTCCACGGCCACCAGGGCCTTGCCTGCGGGAGACACAAGACACGTCACACCGTCCACAGCACGCCACTGGCCGACACCCGGGGCCGAACCGCGCAGACGAAGCAGCCGGCCTGGCTCGCTCACAGAATGAATCATCTGGGACACTGTTTAAGGAACTCCCAAGTTCCTCCTGGCACTTCCTGTGCTGGCAGGAGAACATCCCAGTGGGTTTTTTTTTCTCTCCCTAATAATGAAGAGATTTGTGGGCTTTTTAAAAAGTCAGTGTTCATGTTAATAGAAAGATAAGGACCGGGGAATTTAGGATCATTGGATATGATATCTAATGCAGAATAGTCAGACATAGTGCTTGGCTTCTTGGTTTTTAGTAAATTCCAATGTCATAAATATTCTTAACACCAATGCTAGATTGGACCTATGTGAACAGGGTTTCTGGAGATCTGGGATTCATCTTGGGATCCTGAAGAGTCCCAGGGTGACAACCGATGTCATTATGTAGTTAGGTAAGTAGAGAAAGTAGAAGTGGCCTGATGACATGCTTGGGAATGTCTCTCCCCAGACACTCAGGGTAACAGATTTGTCTCTTTTTTGACAACACATAGTTTGCCTTTTTACTCCAAATCTCTTGGCCCCTTCCAGTTTTTCTGTTATACAGGTACATGGGGATTTATCTAATGTAAAGTACACATGCACACACACACACACATACAGAGTCAATCCTCATTCACAGATTCATATTTGCAATTCACCTACTCAATAAAATGTATTTGTAACCCCAAAATCACCACTCTTGGCACTCTTGCAGTCATTCATGGACAAGCATGGAACCATGTAAATTTTGAGTTGCTCCACACAGGTTCCTAGCCTAGGTCAAAGACACTCTGCCTTCTTATTTCAGCTGTCATACTGTAAACACGTGTCCTTTTTATAGTCTACCCAATGCCACGCTCTTCTCATTTTTGTTGGTGATTCCCTGTTTAAAACAGCTTCCAAGCATAGTGCTGAAGTGCTGTCTAGTGTTCCTAAGTGCAAGAAGGCTGTGTTGTGCCTTGCAGAGAAAATACATGTGTTAGATAAACATCATTCAGGCATGAGTTATATAGTGCTGTTGGCCATGAGTGCAATGTTAATGAACCAATAACACATATCACATAAGGTGTCTTTAAACAGAAACACTCATAAAACAAGGCTATGTGTTGATTACTCGATGAAAATGTGACCAGAGGCTCACAGGAATCTAATCCTGTATTTCCCTTAGGAGCAATGGTTCAGGATTTGTTAATTTGGTGTTTGCGGTGATTTTGTAGAGCAAAACTACTGCAAGTAATGAAAAGCAATTGCACACATGTGTGCGTGCACACACACACAATACAAAACAATAACGTTATTTAAAACAGACCTTGTGCCTGTATAGGTCTACATCTCACCTGAATTGTCCAAATGGCCCTTGCACCTTACCTCCTGAATATTTACAGGAGTTCCAAGGAAAACAAATAAATCAGAAACCTGTTCCCTCCTCCATTGTCTCAAGTGACAGACAGCAAGTTGGGGCCTTTTTTTTTTTTTTTTTTAAGACCCAAGCATAGCCAACCTGGGCAAGTCCCCATTCTCTTCTGTGACCACTCTCCTAGACCAGGTCAGCTCTGCAGCACCAAGCTCAATATGCAGAAACA